ATAATAAAAGTAATAATAAATTCTCTTTCATAATGTATGTCTTACAAGTCTAAATTTATTTTTCTTTGATTTAAACTCAATAACATTCACAACGATCATAATTTACACGACTCTATAACCCAATCATATATACACATGCTAGATATATTAACTTTCATTGGGGATGGTTTTTATTTTTCTTATTTTTTGAAATATACATATTTTTTAATTTTTTAATATGATTATGACTTTTCTTATTAATATGCTTCTTATTTACATTATTTTTCTAAGTATTATATTCTTATCCTTCTTATTTACATTTATGCTTTACTACTATATTACCATGTTATTATTATATATCGAGATCTAGCAGCGCCAAGTGTTTTTACATGAAAAATTTTTCTATTTTTAAATTAAATTTTTTCATTTTATACGGTTAATTCTTTAATTTTTGTAGTAATACATTTAAATTGAGCAAGGTAACGCAAGTTCGTGATGTTTTGTATAATATTTTGAAGGAGAATTAAATAACCACTACTTTAGTTGGAAGAGGAAATGTCTTTGAATGAATTGTAATATTGTATAATAATTTCATTTAAGAGGAATTTAAACCATTTGGATTGGAATTGGAAGATCCTTCAATAAGTATACGTATACTTAGGTTTCATTGTATAAAAATTAAAGATAGTACTATTTGGATTAAGTAAATAATAAATATAAAGATAGTATCATTCGAGTTTTACTTTTCATTTTGATAGTAGAATTTAACTTGGCGCCACAGTTGTTGATATCAAGTCGTGCAAATAATACATACCATTAGATTAATATTCATTATTTATTTAATTTGGCACGGTATAAAGAAGTGGGACTTAACTTAGCGCCAGTTCTTGATATCATATCTTTTACAGGAATAATACATAAAATTTTTTTGATAAAATTATTTTTTCTTTGAGAGGGATAAAATGGTAAAATTTAATTTGTTCGAATTACATTGAATTTGACTTGGCGCCAATAGTTGATATCAAATCTTTTATACAAATGATACATATCATTAGTTCTACTAAACAGCAAACGTGATTAGTTATCAGTTTCACGGTCGATTAAGTAATTGACGTTTTTATATTACCGCATAAATCATAAAAGGTCGTCGATGCACCAGAACACAATCATCACCAATGTCATTGCTAGGGTCCGGATGTTCGAGCGCGATCCCGGGTCGCGCACGAAGCACCACTGCGTGCTAGTGAGTCGAACGGTCTTTGAAATAAGATGGCTCATTTCAGCGAGCGTTCGACTCACTAGCACGCAGTGGTGCTCCGCGCGCGACTCGGGATCGCGCCCGAACATCCGGGCCCTAGTCATTGCGATCAATTTGTTTCGGATTAATAAGAAATTCTCTAATCTTTCTCCTTCCTTTTCGTTGCCTGTAAATTTAAGACAACAATGTTCACCATGATAAGAAATTACAACATAAATCAATTAAGGAAGAATTACCAATGTGAGCCAACAAAATATTTTTTGGGAAATAATAACTGTCATATATTACTACATGGGCTGCAAAGGCCCGGGATTTTTCAATAGGTGGCGCCACTAGAAAATGAACATGACTCATTTCGAGAGGTTCATCTGTCACTAGTTTATGTATGAAGTTTCATGACATTTCGTCCATTCGTTTACAAGCTGCAGTCGTTTGAGTGACGCTACTTTCGCCTTCGTAAAAAAAATG